CACGCACGCACGCACGCAAGCACGCACGCACACACCCACTCACACCCACTCACACCCACTCACACACACACAGACACACAGACACACCCACACACACGACACACAGACACACACAGACACACAGACACACACAGACACACAGACACACAGACACACAGACACACAGACACACAGACACACAGACACACAGACACACACACACACACACACACACACACAGACACCATGAATCGTCGACTCCCCAGAAAATATGGGAAAATCTGGGAAGTGGGGGGGAAGACAAAAACCCAGAAACTATGGGAAACTACGGGGAATGCTTTGATTTGTGTGTATTTATTTGTGTGTCTCAGGGCCCCTTCAAGGAGGTCCAGCGCCTCGTGGTGCAGCAGCAGCGCGGGGTGGACGAGGAGCTGGAGGTGCTGCGCAGGCAGTTTGGCCGCCAGGAGGACCTCTTCGCGCAGTTCGATGCCCGCCAGCGCGGCGTGCCGCTGCAGCGGCCGAGGCGGCGCGACAGGGATCCGAACGAGACGCGGTGCCCCACGTGTGGCCAGTTCAACACCCGCTACGGCGGCCTGAACCACGCCAGGTGCCGCACCTGCCGCAACTCGTACTGCCACCACTGCCTCAGGCGCATCCAGGGCGTGGTCGCGAGCCACTTCATGGGCGAGGGGGCGTGCCCTCAGCACGAGGCCCGTACAGAAGCCGCCGAGTAGCGCGCGGCCCGTGCAGGGGCAAAAGGTGGCATCTCTGCAGGGTGCGAGTGTTCGGTCGACGGTCTGCCGTGTGCCTACGTGTGTGGGTCCGCCCAAAGTTGCAGCACACGTGGTTCGAGTCATTCTTTATTCCTCCTTTGAAGACTATTTCGCATAAGTTGTCCAGGAGGGTCAGGAGTAGCATCAGCACTGCGAGAGTCAGAGACAGAAGCGAAGTTGCAGAAACAACGGAAGGAACAAACTGCAAAGTCACCTGGCTAATAATAGTAACGAGGGCAAGGAAGGGGACGTAGGAATGTGGAGGTAGGAGTGTGAATGAAAAGTTCGAATGGGAAGGGTACTACTGAGCGGAGCAGAAGCTGGAGCAAGAATGGGAGCAGGAACGCGATGCTTCATGAACACGACGCTGATCATACACATATAGCAGGGGACTGTCCCCAGAGGCCCCGAAGGCTGGGACCCCGACCGCAAATGAGTGGCCCCTGGGGCCGGGCCCGGCTCTGGGCCGACATCGTCCGGGAGAGCCACCAAACGGCCATACAGGCAGCCCAAGCGCACCTGGAGCCACCTCCCAGACGGCCTCCAGGGGTCTCAGACGGTCCACGATAGGGGAATAAAAGATGACATGCTCCAAATCCTTTATTAATCGACCCCCCCTAAAAAACCAGACTCCCCTCCAAATGCGACCTCATATTCCGGACCCACTTCTTCGACGAGGCGCTTTAATCAACCGGACCCCCTAGCTCCAATCCAAAGAAAGCGCCCTAATAAACCAGACCCCCCCGTCACAAAAAAGGCGCCTCAAAAGATTGGACCCGGGGGACGACTCATAAGGGATTTGGAGTCAACATGAAAATTTGGAGGTCCGCGCAGATTTCTCGGATTGGCGTTGACCCCCTCCATGGCGCGCGGACCGCGCCGGAGGCGCCGCCAGGGGGCCCCAGTGCCGAGCCGAGGAAGAATTCGAGCCGAGGAAGCATTCCCGAGGAAGAATTTCGCGCCGAGCCGAGGAAGACTCCCAGGAAGAATTCGCGCCGAGCCGAGGAAGCATTCGCGAGAAAGTTTTCATGCTGATGTCAGTGTTTGTTCCCCTACGCGAGGGCCTCGAGTCGCTCACACAACGGCGCCCCAGACAGCCCCAGCGGGCCCCAGGCGGCTCCCCCGAGAGCTGCCGACGAGGCAAAAAAGAACGTTCAGAGCATCGTGTGGGGAATCAGTGGCGGGCGTGTGCCTCCTCGCCGTCTCGCCTCCGGTGGGCCTCGGAGGTCTCAGGATTGCCCTCTGGAGGCTCTCTGGGACGGCACAAGACGCCGCCTGATGATCCCAGGAGGCCCCAAGAACCCCTAAGACGCCCCCGAGAGGCCACCACGGTGCTCCCAAGAGGCCTCCAAGGGGCCTGCAAAGAGGCCCCCTGCCGGCCACAAGACGCCCCCAAGAGGCCACCGAGGTGCTTCGAAGAGGCCTCCAAGAGGCCTCCAAAAGGTGCCCGAACGTCCCCCGATGCCCCCGAGACAGCCCAACAGGCCCCCAAAAAGCCGTCAATAGTTTTCCATGGGCCCCCAAGGGGCCCCCCCAAAGGCTCCACCCCCACAAAGCCCCCTGTTACGCCGTCTTGGGGCTCTCGCGGGAAGTCTCAGTCTTGGGTCCCTCTTGGCCGTATGGTAGGTGTGTGAGGCCGTCGTGGAGCCGTCTTGGGCAGTCGAAATGCACTGGCCTGTATGGCTCCCATTGGACGCCCTCTTGAGCCGTCTTGGCATGTTTCGGTGCTGTGTCGCCTCGAGAGCGCGAGTTTACGAATGGTTGTGGCCTCGGGGTCGCGAATTTGGAGTATCTGCGAAAGAGTGGCCTCGGGAATGCGAATATGTTGTATTTTGCGATGGCGTGGAGCCTCGGGAGGAGAGGCGATGCGCCCGTGGCAGTGTGGGGAGAGGGGGACGGGCTAGAATACCACAGAAACCCTGCCAGACAGCATTCGGTATTCCAGCACGCCTGGGCGTTCAAGGTGGGCACAGTGATGGCGGGTCTTGCAACGCTGACGGCAAAACGCCCATGTTGGGAGGAATTGTGCCGACGTTGCTCTGCTTCCGTGGGTCTGTGGAAAAGGTCCCCATTGGGATAACCATCGGCCAGCCAGGCGGCAGAGTGGGAGTACATAGATATCTTCGTTCATATATGTATAGCCCATTTGTATAGCTAGCATATCTGTGTACATAGCAAGTACACGTACAGCAAATTCTTGTATATCAGATAACAGTCTCCGTTTGCAATGCGCATATGTGTATAGCATTCAAGTACAAGTATGTGCATGGACGGTGTCGGCGAGAATAAGATTGGGGTGCAGGTAGGTGGGAGGGAACTGGCACGGCGAATGATGCTGCCGACGCAGGTATGCCGACGCACGCGAACCGCCTGTGGGCTCGACAAAGCTCTTGTTTGAGCGCATCGCTTGCGCTGGTGGGCCGGGGATGACTTGGCCGCCCGTGACGCTGCTTCGAGGAGCGCCGTGACAGCTCACAACAGTCGCCAGCCGTTGCTGCCGATATTCACGCCTGAAGCGTACAGTGGAAGCCCATGCCAAGAAACACCCTGCTTGCCTCCAGGGTGCCCTGGGTTGTGGAAATCATGACGTTTGCGCACCAAGAATCCATGGACGTCCTGGGGTCTCAGGGTTGGGTTTCTCGTGGAAGGCTTCTTGTGGTCGAGCCCCTACTGTGCGCCTGAAGCGTATCGGGGAGGAGCAGGACGGAAGATGTGGATGGGAAGTGGGAGTGGCTCACTTGAGGTGTCCAAGCCCAGGTCGCCGGGCAGCAGCAGCTTCTGAAAGGTTCTTCCAGGGAGCTCTGGAGGCTCTGGAAAGGAGCTTCTGAAAAGCTGTACCGCACACGTATCAGGAAACAGTTGGAACAACAGGCTTTCCGAAACACGCTGCCGACTCGCAGGAGTATTCGAAGCGTATCGGGGAGAAGCAGGACGGAGGGTGAGGATGGGAAGTAGACATTGCTCATGTCTGTGAAGGTATTGGCAGGTTCTAGTGTCGTTTGAGGGAGATGCCTCCTGCTCTCTCCCATGCGGGGGGCTGGGGCGAAGACGGCAACACAACCTCCAGAGGCGCGAAGCCTCACCAAATATTTGGGATTTGTGGTTCGGCAGCGGTGCTTGGATCGCGCGCGTTGTTTCACGACGCCGGGCCCGAATGAGGCTTACGCCGTTCTACCACTGAAGATTCGTAGATTAGCAAGTTCCGTGTCATTGTATGTTCCCGTCCTTCATGCGTGTGAGAATCTATCCAGCTGTCTGCAGCAAGCCCCGTGTCTTCGTGGGGGCTTTGGAGGCCATCACGTGTGACATTTCGTGTCGTGTCTCCAGATACGAGAATGCCGTAATAATTGTGATGAGGATTACTGGTGTGATGGGGGGCAATGACGACGATGATGATGATTGTGATGATGATCATAAAGATGATGTTGATGATGATGTTGTTACTGCTGCTGGTGATGATTACAACGTCAACGACCGCGATGATGACGGTGACGACGGCGATTGCGATGGCGGTGATAATGGTGATGCTGATGATGATGGTGGTGGTGACGATGCTGTTGCTGATGCTGGTCTTGCTGTTGATGATGAGGCTGGCGCTGCCGATGATTATTGTGCTGATGATGATGGTGATGATGATGATGGTGATGGTGAGGATGGTGACGATGGTGATGATGATTCTGATGTTGAATATGGTGATACTGATTCTAGTAGTAAGGATGATGGTGTTGTTGCCGATGATGACGAGTATGATGATGATGATGATGATGATGATGATGATGATGATGATGGTAGTCGGGATCATGATGAGTATGATGATGCTGCTCATATTGCCGATGATGATGAGCATGGTGATAATGCTCATCAGGGTGAACTATGATGATGGTGATGATGTCGATGATGGTGATGGTGATGGTGGTGATGGTGTTGATGCTGCTGATGATGATGATGACGACGATAGTGGTGATGGTGATGGTGTTGTTGATGGTGGTGCTGATGTTGATGATGATGATGATGATGATGATGATGATGATGATGATGATCCTGATGATGATGATGATGATGATGATGATGATGATGATGATGATGCTGATGATGCTGATGATGATGATGTTGATGCTGATGGTGGTGACGATGATGATGCTCATAATGCTACTGATACTGGCGCTGATGCTGGTGCGGATGCTGATACTGATGCGGATTCTGATGCTGGTGGTGCTGCTGTGGTTGATGATGAAACTCGTTTGGGCCGTCGTCTGGCTGTGTTGGTCTTCTGTGAGGTATCCGTGGGGGGTCCTCGGGACCGTCTTGGGCCGTCGAAAGACCTTCTGAGGCCGTCATGTCTCCCACGGGTGGCCCTCTTGGGCCGTCTTGGGGCCATCTTGGACGCTTCTTGTGCCATCGTGGAGTCCTCTTGGGCCGTCTTGAGCTGATGGCAGGCCGACGGCGAGAATGCGAACACCGTTAGACGAAAAACAATGGTTTGGGTTTCTGATGACCTAGTTGGAGATCAGATTGTGGCCAATTGAGACCGCTTGGAGGCATCTTGGGACGTCTTGAAGCAGTAGTCGGCCGCCTTGGGGATATCGTGGGCAGTCGTCGGGGCATTGAGGGCCATCTTAGTGTCGATGGTTGCCTGCGCGGGCCGTCTTGTAAGCTCGAGACGCGTATCCATTTGTTTTCAAGAGGGGTCGTGGTTCGCGAGGCCCAGGAGCGCTTGGGAGCAGCGTCTGGGAATGCGGGAAGTGCGCAATCCTCGAGCGGGTGTGCGTCGGATCAGGGGCTCAGCAGTCAGCAGCCATGCGGGAAGCGCACAAGCAGCGAGCGGGCGTGAATGGAATGAGGGCCCGGCATTAGCAGCATGCGGGAAGCGTACGATCTTCGAGCGGGCATTCGTGGACGGGGGGCTCAGGCATCAGCTGCCATACGGGAAGGACGCCATGAGCTCCACGCCCAGCTCCTCCTGACTGCTACAAGCAAAGTTGACGACTGCAATGGAGGGAAGTGCAGCCGCCCTGAGTGGGAAGTGCACCATGCTCGAGCGGGCACGCGTTGAATGGGATCTTCGGCACGAGGTGCCATGCTGGAAGTGAACCATCCTCGAGCGGGCACGAGGGAGGTGGCCTCGGCAACGAAGGGCGATGCACGCGTGAGGCCTGCGAGTGCGCAGGGAGGCGGAGGATCCCTAAGCAGTGCTGTAGAATCCGACCAGGCAGACATTGGCATTCTTCCACGTCTCACCTCCTCCTCTTCCTCCTCCTTCTTCCGCTCGGCACGATAGTGGATTCTGGCCTAGTTGTCAGTTGTCAGTTTGGAGTGTTCGGCAGTTGTTGATCTGTGATGTTCGTGCCTACTCTTTGCAGCGCGACGTCGGCGGAGCTGTGAATTTCGCTGGTCTCGGGGAATTTGGGAAAAGGAGGGAATGTGATGATAAGGGTGGAAGAGGGAAGTGGAGGAATACGAGGAGGATGTATGTTCTGACTCTTGTTGAAGCAGACGACGGCGAGCAAAATGAGGAACGCGAAGAGGAGTGAGCGCGGAACAGTGGGAGGAGGAAGAATTGAGACAGAGGCTGGAGAACGGAGAGTGACGAATGCTTTACTCACCCCGCGTATGAGAGAATAGCCGGGCGTGTGCAAAAGGGAGCACGAGGAAATTGAGTAATAGAACGGGATGAGCGCGATGAGTTGCAGGATGAGGGACGTTTACAATGGCCCTATACAAAACGTTTTGGCTGGAGCCGCCAGGGTCGCGCGCGTGCGCCAGGTCAGATTATAAACATTTGGACCGCGAGGATGAGGAGGAGGCGGAGCAGGATTCCAATGAGGAGGCCGAGGAAGAGGATGAGCAGGATGCATAGGGATACATCGGCGACGAGGAATCGACAAGGGAGGACAAGGGGGAGGAGGAAGGACCTGGAGAGGAGGTAACAGGAGTCAGCAGAGTCCGAGGAGGCGGAAGGATGGATAGGATGGTGGTGATGATGGTCGTGAAAAGGACGAGGAGGAGGAGGATAAGGAGAAGGAGGAGGAGGAGGAGGAGGAGCACAAGGATAAGGAGGGTGAGGAGGAAGAGGAGGATAAGGAGGATAAGGAGGATAAGGAGGAGGAGGAGGAGCGACCTCCCCCGTGCAGGAGCGGCGCTGCCTCTCTGGGCCCTCGGCGCGGCGGCGCCGGCTGCGGCGGACGCCTTCGACTGCGAGGCCGCTGCCAGCCCGGGCTCCGTGCGCGGTTTCTCTTGGTTGGGGTTACGTTGCTCCCATCGCACTTACATACATACATACATACATACATACATACATACATACATACATACATACATAATTACGTCGCTCCCATCGCACTTAAGGACCACATCCCAGAAATGATTTCGAGCACCCAGAAAAGTGTCGAAAGAGTGTCTCTCCAGGGCTCGACGCGTGAAGGCCCTCGAGAGTTTTGGGGGTGTTCACCTGGTGCTCGAAATTCAGTCTGGTGATCAAGGCCAAAGTAGGTTGGAACATCATAGGATTGGGGGGGACGCGAGGGGTCCGTGGACGCCATGACGCCCTGTCCCTGGCTAGGGATGGAAGAGCAGGAGGGGGGAGGAGGAGGAGGAGGAGGAGGAGGAGGAGGAGGAGGAGGAGGAGGAGGATTTGAATATACCATGCGTACGACCCTGCCGGTGGCGAACAGTCGCCAGTACGAGAGCGGACAACATTGCGTGCGACCGATCTGGCGGCCAAGTTTGGCGAGCTGCTTGACAGGCACGTCCGAGATGGCAGCCAAGTTTGGCGTTCTGCAAGACAGGGAAGATCGAGATGGCAGCCAAGTTAGGCTCTCTGCTAGATAGACAGACGCTAACAGACTGCCCCCCCTTCCTGTAGGATCTGCGGGACAGATGCGGCAAATTTTCCGATGATAGACGCCACGCACACAAACGAAAGCATCACGACTCCAACCATGATGTTTATCTGGCCACACCGCCACGAAGCTGGCAGCGATCTGGCCACGGAGTAAATACGACCTGAAGGGTTACCTGGCAGGGCCAAGAGTAGTAGGGCCCAGCGCTTGCTACCGGCACTACTGCCCAACCTCTTCACCGACAGCGTCACCCCACGTCCACAGTGGAAGCGTGATCTCGTGTACCACGCTGAGCACCAGTACCAGATGTACGAAGTTGCCTGGTGGATCTAGGTTACCGTTCCCTGGGAGACGAGTAATGGGCGGCGATCAATGGGGGGCAGCGAGGTCTTCAGAAAAGAGGCCCCTTATGGCCCCTAAAGGGGCACTTAATGGCCCAGAACGGGGCAAGTGGGGTCCGAAAAGAGTACATCTCTCCCCACTATGATTCGCCCCCCACTTATTCGCAACCCATTCCCCCGCCCCGCACATTCCCACGCCGCCCATACCCCACAATTGTATGAACTATGGACGCTGGAAGGTGTGTGCGGTTATTTGGCAGCGAGCGGGGGGGGGATTCCTCAGAAGGCATCTGGCTGGCCCTCTGACAAGTCCCCTGTGCCTTCGGGGAAGGCTTATGTAGACAGACGTTTCAAAAGGCTGGGGGACTTGCGAGTCTTCGGAGAGTCGGGCGGGTGGTAATGGGGGATGGCCTAGGGGGTGAAGAGCAAGTCCGTAGAAGGGGCACCAGTTGGCTCGAAAAGGGGCCCAAAGGAGCCCCATTCAGGGCCCTTCTATTCACCCCCCGTTTGGGTCACTGCTTCGCCCCTCCCGAAGCTCTGTACTTTGGGGCCCCTCTCTTCACCACTGAAGGGGCCCCGCTTTGGAGGCCAGCTGGTGCCCAAAGGGAGCCCGAGGGCCCCTCCAGGGCCCCTCTCTTCGCCCCCCCCCTGGGCCACACCCCCAATGACCACCCGCCCGATCCTGAGAAGGGCCTCCTCCTTCTCCACCTCCTCCCTCTCCTCCTCCTCCTCCTCCTCCTCCTCCTCCTCGTCCTCCTCCTCCTCCTCCTCCTCCTCCTCCCCCTCCTCCTCCTCCTCCTCCTCCTCCTCCTCCTCCTCCTCCTCCTCCTCCTCCTCCTCCCAGGTTGCCATTTGGGCTCCGCGCCCCAGCTGGGGCGAGGCGCGGCCTTCCAAGTGGCCCCAGTCGCCGGCCGCCCATCACACGGGCGCTGGTGCATCTCATCATTCCCGCGCGCGAGCGATCGCGCTCCCCCGCCTGGCACAGGCGTGAGCGGCGGCGGCGCAGGGAGGCCCGGCTCCTCCTGCGCCTCGACGCTGCCAGGTGCCTCCTGCAGGGGCACCACGGCGAGAGTACCTTGCAGGGCAGCGTGGCGCCCAAGCCGCGGCGCGCCGAGCTTGCCAAGAAGTGGACGTGCAGGTTCTGCAAGCGTCCCCGCACTGGGGAGGAGTGGTGGAATCGCTCCGATGCGCCCAGCTCCGGCCAATGTGGGCGCTCCAAGGGGGTGTGCTACAAGGCCGACCTCCAGCCCAAGGGAGCCTGCCCCTCGAAGTCGGCCAAGGCGGCGGCCGCTGGTGGCAGCAGCGCAGCACCGCCCTGGCTCACCTCCAAGCTGGAGAAGCTGCAGGCCGAGCTTGACAATTCTCCCAAGGCCGAGGCCCAACTCAGGGCCGCCCAGCAGAAGCGGGACCAGGAGGAGTCCATGCAGGTCGACGGTGGCGCGATGCCAGCGGACGGCGGCAGGCTCCGCAACATCATCAAGGACCTGGACAAGCAGCTGGCCCAAGTTGCTCAGTGGGAGGGCCCTCACTGGGACACGCTGCGAACCAAGCTCAGGGCTGATCGCGAGGAGTGCCATCAGAAGCTGCAGATGGCGAAGCCGCCGCTGCAGCACATGTCGGCGCTCACGCAGCGTATCAAGAAGCACGAGGACCTCATCGCCAAGCAGGAGGCCACGCTCGAGGGGCACGTGGCCGCCCTGGCCAAGATGGAGGAGATGCGGCTTCATCACCAGCAGCTCCTGCAGGAGCAGAGGGCCGAGCTGGTCTCCCTCAGCGCCGAGCTCCACGAGCTCACCAAGGCGCAAGTGGTGCCGCCTGCAGAGCCGGCCCTCCAGAGCCCGGTGCTGCCGCTCGTCGGCTACGATGTTGCCAAGCTTGGGGAGCTCTTGCACAGCCCGGGCATGGAGCAGGCGCAGGCTAGTGATCTGGGGCCCAAGCTGTTGGCCCGCATCTCGGAGTGCACCACCCAGCAGGTCCTCCCCCTGGGCCAGTTCGCGCTGCCCCCGGCAGGCGCTGCGAGCGGAGGTGCCGCCGCTGCCCCAGCCGCAGGAGGACCCCCAGAAGGCCAGCCTAGAGAGGGGGAGCCCGCACTTGGCTCCGCCAGGCCTTCGCTGGACGCCCTCGAGGAGGCCCCGCTCCGGGACTTCCTCACCAGCGCATTGCCTGCTGGTGCGGAGCTGCCTTCTGATCTGCCTGGCATGCGAGCTGCTGCCAAGCGCCTCCAGCAGGCCGCTGCTGCCGCGCCGTGGGGGAGTGGCCCCTACTAAGGCGGAGCTGCCCCCTCCTGTGCCAATTATGCCAATGATGACGATGATGATGGACACACCGACTCAGCAATGTGAGAGGGCTCACCATGTTTTTGCCGTGCTGCCTTCGCGTATTCCGCAGAGGTCGCACGGCTCCAGCTGGCGTGTCTGGAGCGACGCCGCTGGAGGCGGGGCGGCTACCCAGGGGCAGGCCTCGGACTGCACCACCTCGACGACCTCGGCTTCGACGGCTGGCTCAGATCACGCTGGCGGCGGTGTCCGGCCAGGTCGCGCAGTTGGCCACGACGCAGCTGGACGCCATCTTCGAGGCGACCTGAGGGGGCAGGTAGGGGACCCAGTGCTGCCTTTCCCCGCCTTGCCCCCCCCTGCCCGGGAGGCCCAGGAAGGCATCCTCTCAGATCATTGTGACGACATCGTCGACAGGCCGAGTCCGGGGCCATGGCCGAGAATTGCGGCCACGTTGGGAGGGCACTCTGTCGAGCGGCCTAAGGGCTTGCTGGTCGCGGCCAACGGCGACAATTTTGGCCCTGCCAAGGCTTTCTTGCAGCAGGCGAGCCCCCTGGTCAAGGCGGTGGCGGTTCAGGAGCATCACGTCTTGAAGTGCAACCTCCCGGGGGCCGAGCGGGGCCTCAAGGATCTCGGCTACCGCGGCATCATGGCCCCTGCGAGCCCTACCACCAGCGGGGGCAGCGCAGGCGGCGTAGCCGTGCTAGCGCCGTCGCACGTGGCCATCAGCACGCCGCCTCCGCCGCCCGAGGGATGGCCGGAGGGCCTGCCGGGGTTCGTCGCCGAGGCCCGCACTGCGGCGGCCCATGTGCATTGGGGGCCCCCTGGAGGCCTGGTCTTGCTGTCGGCCTACTTCCACACGGGCGTCGGCATGGACAAGCAGAACACTGATCTCATCCACTGCCTGGCCCGGTACTTGGTGGTTGTGATGGCGGCGGGACTCGACTGGGTTGTCATGGGCGACTGGAACATGACCCCTGCCGAGCTTGATCGGCGCTGGATCAACACGCTGGGCGGGGTGTTGGCAGCCACCGAGGCGCCCACCTGCATGAAGACCCTGCCTGGGCGCGTCATCGACTACGCGGTCGTCAGTACCAACCTCCTCAGTCGCATCGACAGGCCTTGGATCGACGAGGCGTCGGCGCTGCCCGTGCACACCCCTGTGGCATTGCCGCCCCTGGCGGGGGACAGGATTCTCTGGCAGAGGGTACCTGTGGAGCCTGCGCCCCTCCCTGAGCTCCGCCCTGGTTGCAGTCGGCCGCCGCTGCATTGGCACGACGTCCAGTGCGCTATCCTGCAGGATCGCGACGATGAGGCGCTGCAGTGCTGCTGGGATCTCGTCCTCGAGCGCCTGGAGGCCGAGCTGCTCGATCGCTGGGGCCTGGTCGACGGGCCCACTCGTTGCCGGTGCGAGGGCCGAGCGGGCCCCACCAGTACGAAGTGGGTGCAGGTTAAGTGGCAGCCTCCCCGCAAACGCCCCCGGCCCACGCCGCAGCTCCTGGCCTGGACCTCGGTCGCTCGCTGGGCCAAGCATCTGCTTCGAGCCCGTGCCCACCTCGCCAAGCTGGTGGCCACGGTGGCGGCAGACCCTGGGCCGCGGCCCCCTGGGCTGGCCAAGAATCTGGAGGTGCTCGACGCCTTCTTCCAGCGCATCGCCACGGCGGCTCACGTCTGGCAGGCGGTGCCGTGTGAGGTGGGCCAGCTCTTCGCCTTGGGCCCCAGTCTGCTTTGCCTCACACGCTTCGAGGACAAAATGATGGACCTCGTCGCCACCTTCAAGGACCTCAGCGCTAAGCACACCAATGCCGTCAGCCAGCGCTGGCGCACCTGGGTGGATGCGTCCTTTCGGTCTGGGGCCAGCGGTGCGCATCGAGCGACGCGACTTCAGGAGCGGCTGGAGATCCTCGCACCGACCAAATCGGCGCAGCCTCACGAGTTAGCAGACGCCGAGATGGACCAGTGGGAGAAGATTTGGGGCTCGCACGCGGCCAGTTGGTTGGCCTTGCCCGGGGGCGCGGCCTCCTGGGAGGCCTTGCCGCCCATCTCAGGCGAGGATGTGCCCGAGGCCATCTTCACGGTTTCCTGGCGCACGGCTACTGGTCAGACACGCTTGCCTTCTCGGGCATTGTGGTTCTTGTCTGACGAGGCGTTCCAATACATGGCGCTGCTCTTCATGCGATGCGAGGACCATCTGTGCTGGCCATCGGACCGCATCATCAATGTAATGGTCCGCATCCCGAAGGCTGATGGGGGCGCGCACCTCATCGCACTGGTCTCGACCTTGGTCCGCGTCTGGGCCCGCGTACGCAGGCCCTTGGCCCTCGACTGGGTCAAGAAGCACCCTCACCCTTGCATCTATGGGTTGAGGAAGGGCTTCTCCTCGGTCGACTCGGCCTACCTCCTGGGGCTCTCCAGCGTCACCGTGATCCTGGACATGTTCAAGGCCTTTGACAGCGTGTTGCTGGCGCCTCTACTTCAGGAGGCGCGCCGCCTGCACTTCCCGCTCAGGCTGGTCTGGCAGCTGATTGGCTACTTCAGGCAGCCGCGCGTCATTCGGGCCTACGGCAGCTGGAGCAGGCAGGTCGTCACCACCCAGAGCATACTGACTGGTTGCACCTACAGTTCGGCGCTGCTCACGGTCCTGCTCTTCCGTGCCATCACGCGCCGCCAGCAGATCTCGGATGCCATAGTCCCCCGTGGGCTCATGGATGACCTTACCTTGCAGTGGATTGGCGAGGCCATCGGCGCGGGCACCTTGGTTCTCCATCAGGCGGTGGTGCAGTTCGTGAAGGATGTCGAGCCCCTTGGCATGGATATCAAACCAAGCAAGTCGGGCTGGCTGGCCACCACGGCATCAGCCCAGCGCGCCTTTACGCACGCCATTTGCGCGAAAGCTCAAGCTCTCGGCTCAGCAGCGCCCGCAACCTCGGACACGACACTCACGGCCGACGAGTCATCCGCACGGTGGCCAAGCGTCGCCTCCTGGCGTTGGGTGCACCTGGCCATCGCACTAGCGCCCTGCATCGTGCAGCAGGGGCCCGCATCCAGACGCTTTGGAGGACTGGGCTGCTCCCAGCGGCGGCCCATGGCGCAGCTGTTTCGGGCACCCCGGACGATCACTTGGGGCGGCTCCGCCACACGGCGGCCTTGCTCTGCAGTGGCAAAGGTGGGGTTGGAGCTGACTCCATAACGTTCCATCTCGCCACGCAGCGCGACCAGTACTTTGACCCGATTTTCGACACGACGATCGCCCCTGTCTTCAAATACTGTGCCTTCATCTGAGACGCCAGGCTGCCCCTGGCGCAGTTGCAGCGCGCCTGGTGCGTCCTCGAGGCAACGTGGCTCCTGGAGAAGCCCACCTGGAAGGGCGTGCGGGGCCCCCTGGCGGCAGCGTGGATGAGCCTCCTCCGCATTGGGTGGACCACGCACTCGAGCCTCATCCTGGTCACCGACCAGGGCGCCATCATCTCCCTCTTGCGAACGGCGCCGAAGGACGTGCGCCACCTGCTGCGGGAAGGCATCCGCAGATGGCAGGGCAGGCAGATTCTCAGCCACCATGCCGATTAGGTGCCTGACCAGGCCGAGCTTTGGCATCGAGCCATGCGCCGGGTGCTGGCGCCGCCTGGGGCCGCGGTCAAAGGGGCGCGCGCGGGCAATCTGCGCAAGCTCTGGGCAGGGGCCTCCTGGGACATAGCCAAACGCCACCAGCATCGTTACGTGGCTTCTCCCATGTGCCCCCATTGCCCACAGCAGATCTGCACTCGAGGCCATCAGTTCTACGAGTGCCAGCACACGCTGCAGCACCACAGCGATGACTCCATGGAGCCGCTTTCAGAGGAGCTGGAGCGCGTCAGGGAGAGTCTTGCCAAGACGTGCCACCTCGGCTGCGCGGACGCCAGCTACGACCGGTTTGACTTGGTGGTCGGGCTGCCGCTGATGCCGCCCATGCACCCCGCACCAGAGGCCACTGCCGAGGTCCACTTCTGGGGCGACTGGGCCTCGACGACTCGCTGTAACCACGCGGTCGCTTACACCGACGGTTCTGGCTACGACGCGGAGTGGCCCGAACTCTGCCGCGGTGGCTGGGCGGTCGTGCAGATGGGCCCTGACAACAGGCCCGTCCGTGCCATTTACGGCGTACTTTCGGGGCCGAGGCAAACTGTTGGCCACGCAGAGAGAACCACTATGCTGATGGGCCTCAGGCATCTCCCTTGGCTCTCCCACATCGTCTCTGAGCTGGAGTCGCTGGTCAATGAGGGCAACGCGTGGGGCGACAGCCTGGCCAGCTCGCCCAACCAGTACGCTGACATCTGGCGGGCGGCCTTCGCTGCAGGAGGGCCCTGTCCACTGGGCTTCTCGTGGTGCCCTGCCCATCGCGATATCCAGCACCTCTTGGACGACAGGGTCGCCGCCGACTTCAACGGCAATGCGTGGGCCGATTTCTTTGCAAAGATCGGAGCTCGTCATGATGCATTCGCGGCCAGGCTCTCGGACGCTCGCCTCGAGGGTAAATTGTTTGCCTGGCTCATGGCCAGGCTGGGTGAGCAGCAGGAGGAGCTCGACGCGCTGGTAAAGAAGACCAGGCGCCCCGCAGCGCCCGCGGCACCAGCACAGGTGGTGTCGGGGCGCCATCGCCTCCGCCCTGTCTTTGGGGGCTTCTGGCGCTGCGCCTTCTGCGCAGCCACTGCTAGCACTGACGAGGCCAAGCAGCGTCTCGAGCGCGCGGTCTGCGCGCCCTCCCCGCTGCAGAAGCTGATGGCGGCTGCCTCTGCCGGCTCCTCCTCATTCTCCTCCC